TGTAAGAATTCTGAGCCAATTGCCTGGTAAATTTTTTTACAACCTTTTATTGTATGGCAAGAGATCAGCTTGAAAGCTCAAATTAAACTTGAAGGATGAGGAAATATGTTCCTTAAAATCTCAGGAATAATTCAGATTTAAAATTGATATAAAAATAATTTACAAATATAATAATTGAGAATATAAACATTTTGGATGCACTATGAAATAAACATGAACTTTGTTTGTCTATGCATAGTGTATATGGACATGATTTAGCGGAAATAATATAAAGGTTTATGACAATCTCCTCATGTGGTCTGTTTTTGTTTGCTTGTTGGATAATCCAGAAAGATACATGGTTGAGGTTTGTTAAGATGAGATCCATGAATCTGATATATCTGTTTTCTATTTTTTTCATAAGCCCAAAATTGCTCTGCTTAATTTAAACCAATACCAAATTTAAAAAGTGTTTTACGAGTGAATGAAATTGAACAATGAGGAGTGGATTGTGTCTGGCCCCTGCTCAAGTGTACAGGGCACAAGGAGCCTTCCCTATCATGCATCCCCCCATAGAAAGGCCACAATATACAATAGCAGTCCCTGCATGCAGGATGCAGAGCAGACTGCTCCCTCCGAGGGCTCCCAGAGGCACAAATTTTCCCTAAGAGAGCAAGGAGGAGGCAGCCTTCTATGACAGACAGACAGACCTTTCTGACTCAAAGTAGGGCAGACACACTGGAAGCAGTGGTGGAGCTAATAAGGGCAGCAGGGTGGGCAACTGCCCCCACCCCCTTCCAGCAGCCTTTAGATGTGTGGCATCATTACAAGCATATTATGCAATTGGCAAGAGGAGGTGTATGACATGAATTTTCACACAGGGCTGGAGAGCGAGTCAATCCCTTAAACGATCCATGCTCCATGTCACAACACCACTCACTCAAGCTTGATCCAGATTCCCTGATTCATAACAGAAGGATGGTCAGGCCAAATCGGGTTGGCTCTTCAACCCATGTACTAGGTCACAATGCCCAAAGTGGGGAGCCAGGCCCAGGCCTGCGGGACAGGAACCACCACTGCTGGGGAAATGCAGGGCAAGCTTGCTCTCCAGTCTACCACCCCCTGTTACAAGATGTAGCTCTACCATCAACTGGAATGAGTAAGCTGCACTGTCCTAAGCATGTAGATTCCCCTGCACTCCATGGACCTGGATGAGGATTTGTTTCCTAGAACAAAGACCCTTCCGGAGTTCCCCTGGGCCTTTGTGACTCTTCATCACCCACAACATGGGCCAGTGACTAAATTATATAGCCTGGCCCAGGAAAATAAAATAATTCTGCCGTGCCTGTGATGTGTCAACACACCATGCTTCATTTTGGTTGGATAGCCCTTGTTTATTTGATTGGCACATTACAAGAACCTGAATAGAATAGAACAGGGTCCACATTACATTACAACATGTAGAAATCCCCTGCCCTGAGGAGCTAACAATCCAATGTGCATGTTGACCTGACGGCAGTTGGTAGTTCAAAAGCCAAGAGGAACAGATACTATTGGCAAGGTTCACCATATTATTTGGTTCCACAAAAAGTGTGATTAAAATAGGTATGCGGAGGAGGAGGGGGTAATCACTTGGCACACGGAAGTGGGAGGCAGTTCCAAGCGTAGGTGGTTGGTGTATTGCTATGGAAAGAATGCTCGTATGCATTAGTTTAAAAGAAGAGGACAGAGGATGTATGTAAAAGACTAGACAATGGTTTGTCTTTGTCACGTAGGTGAAAATAACATAGTAAAAATTTAATGTGTGGTTATTGAAATACAGCTATATTTGCAAAAATCATATGGTATCAAAAATTTCATCAACATGTATATGAGCAAGAGGACTAAGTGAAGGCTGACTTCACTATACATTTCCTAACTTTAATGCTTCTGTTGCAATAGATGTTCCGATGAATCTAGCACATGGTTTAAATATGTGTGTGTTGTTTTTTCCAGGGCCTCCATAAATGTAATTGGCCTTTTTGAAATGGCTGTTTCAATAGGACAGTTCAAAATATGAAAGCATTACAACTGATTACGGTCTACCTCTGCAAGTAGAGTACATAGCCATTAGGAGCAGAAGGGGGTTCCAACTACTTGTTGCTGATAGCTGGAAGGTTTCCCATAGCCACATACTGGAAAGGGAGGGAAAATGGAGAGCACTCCGGTTGTTGTTTTTTCTGACAGCTCAATGTAATTTACCAGAATGACAACTGGATGGGTAGTCCTGGTTGGTAATGGGAGTATCAGATAAGGAACACTGTGGGGGGCTCCTTCCAGAATCTATCACAGATTGGGAATGAGTGGGTTGTAAGTTTGACCATTCAGGGAGTCTTGCTTATATGAGGGTTTAAGTCCTTACACAGAAAGAGTCCATAATGGGAGCACTGCAAGCCATCAGAAGCAGCTTTCTTGTGGCTATGGACCTCTAGTAGCCCTATCAGCCAGAGCTCCAGCCTAGCGGGCTAGGTTGCAATCCTGTCTAGTTCTTTCACATCACAGGACAGGATTTAGCCCTTTATAAAAAACTAAAGTTTAATTTGTGGGGACTAGAGGCCAGAAGAGTTTGATGATCTTTGTCCAACCCATTATACAAAAATGTGTGCGTCAAGTGAGCATGGGTGAGAATTTATGGCCACCACTTTTCAGTCAGTTGTGGTGGATACTACAACCTTCATGCACTGTGCCTCCTTTCAAATGTTAATGTTTTTTCTAAATGTTTTTTATTTTATATTATGAAAAAATTGAAATTACCATATTAGGCTGGAATCCACTCCCTTGGCAAAGACTGGTGAAAGACTCTCTATGCCAGTCACCCCACTTTTCCCTTACCCGCTGTATTTTTGCATTTGGAGTAGGCGATGGGAAGGAAGTAGAGTATTTCTACTCACCATGAACATGAGCACCATGCCAGCTTTGAGTAAACCAGCATGAAGAGGGCATTGAGGGTGAGTTGGCGAGGGGACACTAGTCTGAGCACACATTCGATCACAGGAAGCCCCACAACAGGGGCACAGAGAGGTAGTGAACATTTTTCTAAGCTGGGGAGGACTGGATTATAGTCCCAAAGCCTGCTTGTGTGTTAAGGGTGGAATCTTGTCCTACCCCTTGCACAAAGAACCTGATCCCAAGTCCCTTGAAGTCAATGGGAATCTTTTCATGACTTATGTGGGCTTTGAATCAGGCCCGAAATCTGGTCATTTAGGCTTTGTGCAATGTGCATAGAGAGCTAAATTTCACATTTGGTGCAAAAAATTCTATCCTAAGATCCTTATAGTGGATCTCGTCACTAGTACGTTGCACATTATAGAGAATTCCTGTTTTATATGACAAGCAGAGTCAAGACTCAATATTCCACTAAGAAAGGAGAATTTCACCCTTAATGTCTCTAGTTATTTATATTAAACACAGCAAACATTTCAGTTTTTAGTCAGTCCTTTGCCTTGCCATTGGCATGGCTCAGCTTCTTGTCAATGATAAGTTTGCTAGTTTGATAGAGCTGGAAATGGCTGTAGGTCTCTGCTAAAATACAACAAGACCTTCTAAGACTGGGATATAATTATTATGAGAACCAAAATATAAAATAATGATCAATTCTAGTAGCTGAGGGAAATACAAAAGGCAATAATGCACCAGGTCACTGCCATAGTCAAAAAGACCTAGGGGATTCTGACTATTCCAGCTGGACAGAGAGCTCAAGTAAGATGAAGGCACTCTGAGAAACCAAAGAAAACAGTTGTATCTGCAGTAAGCTGCCTCTCCTGATCACATGGGTCAAGCTCAGCCAATTAGCGGCATGAGAATGCCAGGTGCCTCTCCTTCTCCCTCTCCCCCTCCCCCAAAGAACAGGCTTAAACGCAAAATGCACCACAAGTAGCTGCCTGGTAATGTTTGTGGGTATCCAAATGGAAGACTTTTGAAAACCTTTTGCTCTAGGGACTGTTGAAGCAAAATCTGAGCAAACCTATGAAGGTTGGTTTTGTGTATTCTTGCTTTTGCAGTTCACATGGGTCTGGTTCTGAAATATTTTCAATTTAATCTGGCAAGAGACTCTTCCCTTATGATCATCCAGGTCGACCAATTAACAAAAAATATTTGAGGCAAGGCGTTCATGCTAAATTGTTAGTTGCTGACTCGGTTGTGTAATTTTTGATGGTTTTTGTCACCATTACTTAGCTCATTGATGATGTTCAGAGTTATGAAGGTTGCTGGAGCTGCTGAACCTTAAACTCATATGTTTTGACTTTTCAGTCAGCATCTGTTTTAACAGTGTATTTCCCTGTATATTAAATTTCAACACTTCATATCAGTAGCACTGTAATTAGAGTCAACAAAAAGCAAACACAATGCCTAGTAGCTCTTAATCAGAGTAGCATAAGCAATGTCCTCTTCCCCTTTGTCCTATCAAGAGTAAGGAGTGGCAGGGCACCATTAGTGTCATCCTTTATGTAAAATTCAAATCAAGGATTTAATTTAAATGCTCTTCCTTCTTCTGTCAAGAGCATAGATTTTTAAATCTGTGTGCAAAGTTTGTATTTCTTCCTTCTGTTCCTTTTTGGAGTATGGGGAGGGAAACATTGCAATACTCCAATTTAAATGTATTCTTGTTTTGATGTCTCTAGTTATACATTTGAAATCCATAAATAGGTTATGTGTTGAAACTAATTGCACATTGAACATCTTAAACATGATCAGTTACAGTGCGAAGTATGTATTGTAGCACAAGACACTTTATCAGATTGCTTACTCCCATAGTTTATTGACTGATTCTGATTTCAGAAGGAAGAGGTCAGAATGGTCGCCCGTTTGCCACTGGCAAGGGGGGCCCTTTAGCGTTGACCTGGCAGATCTGTATTCACTTTCTGTGCCTAATGTTAAATGTAGCAGTCTCCAACCACAGTGCAGTTTGCAGCACTGTAACACCCCTGAATCTCTCTTGCAGCCTGTGTCAAGGTTTGAACTTTCCAAATTATGTATTTCAGACATTGAGAAAGAAAGGACTTAATGGCTGTGACAGTCCAGACCCCGATGCAGACGATTCAGTAGGTCACAGCCCTGAGTCTGAGGACAAGTACAGGAAACTTAATGAAGATATTGATCTAATGATCAGCAGGCAAAGATTGTGTGTAAGTACTCTGAGCTCCTTTCATTTTTTTTTTACTTTTTGATATTTCTCTGAACCTGGCAGGCGTTGAACAAGAAAGAAAACAAAGGCTGTGAAAGCCCCGATCCTGACTCCTCTTACGCTCTCACCCCACGCACTGAAGAAAAATACAAAAAAATTAATGAAGAATTTGATAATATGATCAAGAGCCATAAAATACCTGTAAGTACCAAAGGTTAGATGGCTGTCTGCTGATTGCTGCAGTAACATACCTTAACCCTTTCAGTTCTGAATTCTTATTGAGAGCATTTAAGCTAGAAACAGGCTTTAATGGCCCTCCCATAGAATCAAATAGAAAAAAATCACAAACATCTTTTTTCTCTTGAATTCTCTTCATTTGACACATAGTCAAAACCTCCTATAGGTGAAACCTACGGAAGGAAGTGAAATATACATATATACATTATATTCACTTGATTTACAGAACTGTTTACCACACCACTTGCCCAAATTATATCTAGAAAATAACAATGGAAATCTTTCTTTGTGGATAGGCTAACAAACCCACAGAATACTTTCTGTGGTGATATAGAAAAAATGATGTAGAACTGAAATTCTTTTATATATAGTAGCTAATGCATTTTGTACATGTCACTTCAGTTCTTAAGCCTCAATGCTAAATTCAGTTACAGCACTGAAGGGTTACAGCTAATTGCTCGCTGCAGAGAAACAGCCTGCATGAGAGCCTAATGGTAGGACTCAGACATGTTTGTGTGCTGGGGTGATTTTACAGCTTTATCAGAGGATTTGCTTTGACCTCATCAGCATTTCTTTTAATGCTTTAACATGAGCTAAATTTTGTTTTAACCAAGTCAAAATTTCTAACAATCAGTCAGATGCCTTGCCAGATACGTAAGAGAAATAACTCTGCATGTGCTATTTTGTTTGTACACACATACAGAAAAAAAGTAAGTATTGTAACTGTTTAATAACTTTACATTTGTGATACAAACTGACAAAAGCTCCGAAATCCTTGATTAAATCCAACACACCTTGTATAGGAAAGAGAAGCAAGCTATATAAACAGAATAAAAGAGTATTTATCTTCATGTACAGCCACGTTTTTAGCCAGTTTCAAGCAAGCATCTGAATTTGCACGTTAGTGTTTGCACATTCTGTTGATTGCACCTCCAGAAGTGAGCATGCAGCCATCTTGCATATGCAAAACCTAAATGTGTACATGCAAATTGGAAGGCTGGTTACAAAGAGCTTTTTATGTCCCTCAAAGCATAGGCCTCTTTTGCAGTCAGAACAATCCGTTGCATATGCAAAAGCTGATGTCCAAACTGGAGAGACGTTTGTCCTTAAGAATTTTCTGATTCTTCTTTCACAACTTAAATATTGTTTCAGTTGGAAACAATTCTTGGATAAAGAATTTTTCATATGAGTTAAGGAAAACTTGAATGAGCTGTTCTGGTGTCTCTGGTAAAACCATGTTTTGGCAAATCTTTGGAATAGCTTTAAATTGGACAAATATTCATTTAGAACACATTGTTAAAAATGCTTAACATGTGTATGCAACATTTAATTGAATACATATACACTTATATTTCCTTCCCTCCTCCCCCACCTTCCTACTTCCTCTCCTCTGTCTAATTCTATTTGTCAGCAAGAGAGCTTTGAAATTGCCACCATGATTTTGCTAAAAGACTTGACACAGATCTTTTTGGTAAAGTGATGGCTTTATTGAGTCAGTTATTAACTCAGATCTCTAGTCCTTTACCTGGTAAAAATCCTGCCCACTGCAGTTCCTTTCCACTTTCAGATGATGGATACTGGTTGATCAAATCCCCAGGTGACAGAGGCCTTGATCAAATGGGATTTGATTCCAGAAACCAAAATCCCTCAAGTAATTCATTCCTCATGTACAGAACTGCGTTTCACATGCTCCTCGAGAGGCTGTGAGCTCATGTGCCACTTGGTTTTGTTATTCCAAAGCACCATATCTCTGTAACTGTTTAAAGTTTTGCAATCCTAAAAAATTCACTCTTGACTGGGTATCGATCCTGGCAGCTTTTTAACTCTTTACAAGAGTAGGCAACAGTGACCAAGAGAAATCCTCACTAGCGCAGGTAAAAACACAGGACGAAATTTTCTCACAAAAGTGTCACAAAAACGTTGTCTATTTTTTTCATCAAAATTCAAAACACTGAAGAAAAATTTTACCACCAGCTCTCCTCCTGCATTATAGTCCCAGCTCTGCCATTGACTATTTCTTTGGCTCAACTTCTTTCTACTGTAGTTTCCTAAACTGCATATTGGATATAATATAACTTACATACCTCCCAAAGATGTTGAGAGGTGCAGTTTATTAGTTTTTGTGAAATGGCTTTGAGATGCTCTGAGGAAAGGCACTATAGAATCGCAGGTGTTACCATGATTATGTATATGGCAGGATTCTGACATGCCCTGATGTGGATGCTCAGGAGAAAGATCCTCAAGGTGTCCCACTCCTCCAGTGCACACACTACACAAAGATCTGACACAGTTGCAGTCCTACAAGCCCAAGGATGGCTCCCTCTATGCAAACGAGGGACACTCCCTCTCCACAAATGGCTCAATTCTCACCCTCCACACTGGTCTGCAGAGCAGGACCAGCATGCAGGAGATATATCCTTTGAAACAAAATAGCAGCTCATGCTCAAATAAATTGGTTAGTCTCTAAGGTGCCACAAGTACTCCTTTTCTTTTAGCAGCAGACAGTCTCCCTTTGTGCAGTGGGAAGCGCCATCCCTCCCAGTGAAAGCCAATGTCTAATAGGCCTGATGGAGTTCATAGCTAATCCATAACAGAGATTTGTAAATATAAGGCCAGATCTTCGGGTGGTGTAAATCAGCATAGTTCCAGTGAATTCAGTGGAGCTTCAGAAATTTCTATCAGCTGAAGAAGTGGCCTACAAAAGGCAGGCAGGAAGGTGGGAAAAGGAGCAAAACTGGGGGAGGAGGGGTGGAAGGGGAGTGAAAACAAGTCAAACCATTTAATCATGGCTTAGAAAAATGTAAGGCAAAGGTTAGGCCTGCTCCTGGACTTGTAATTAAACAAAAATACTGCAGATGAAAAGAAACTTTGCTTTTCTTCTTAATGAAAAAGGCCAATAATATTTCCACAGAATATTTCAGGGATGCGTATTTATATGATTCTAAAACATCTGATGATAATTATATATTTATTTGTAGTTATTAGAAGAGTGCTGAAAGCATATGGGACAGAAATAGTCCACTAGAAAGCATCTATGAATCTCTCTCTCTGAATGTATGTAGTGGTAAGTCCTGGTTGAAATTGGCAAAAAACTTTAGCAAAATTTAGCACAAGAAATTGTGACCATAATTTCTAGCTCAACGTTGTGTGATTTCACCCATTTGAAATTTCACATCAGCTTAACACGCAATTTGATTATGGAAAGAAGACCGGGCAAAGTTGAGCAATATGTAAAAGTCACCCACATGTTTGAAGTATATCAGATGCACAGATGCACATCAGTTAAGGCTGAACTAATGATACCATGGAATGTTCTAACCCTTGTTTCACCACCAGAAGTGGTGTGGGGATCTGTACCAGGTCCTGCACAGCCCAGCCGAGAAAATTTGTGTCTGTAAACAGAAGTTCTAGGCAGCCAGAACCAGAGAATCAAATTTGCAGCAGGTTGTTATTGGTTCTGCAGTGTAATATTATACAGCCAGCCTTGATGCCCAGGAGGACCCCACAGTTTACCCAACTCATTACTGATTTTTATGTCCCATATATTTTGACTGCAGAAGGAATAAAACAAAATTCCAGAATTAACATAGCCAAACTGCATATAAAAGCACCGAGTAAACAACCTAACCATAGCCAAACTGCATGCAAAGTGTGCTCTAAACTAGCCCTACAGTATCCAAACTACATAAAAGCATGCGAAGCCAGCTGCAATATGTACATCCAGTAATGAGGGATATGAATTCTGTAGGTCATCTAAGAATACCTTTAGAGAAGGACAAAAGAGGACCTAATAATTGCTTTGGCAGTGCTCATATGTTTCGGTGATAATTAGTCTGTACAGTAGTATAGTAGCAGTAGTAAAAGCAGCAGTCAGGATCGGGGACCCATTGTGCAGAACAGAGACAATCCCTGGCTTGAGGGGCTTGCAGTCTAAAGACACAAATGGACAAAGAGCAGGAGATGAGGATACAAGCAAATTAATCTGGTGAAGAATTGGCATGGTGTTGTTAGTCATATTTTTAGTTGGGTGCTTATTTTAATTGAGAGCAGAGGTAGGGATTAAGGAGGTAGGAAAGGAAAAAAGGGGAAGAGGAATGAACACTGCTCATTAGCTGTGTAGCCATGATCAGCAGCTTGGGCTTTGTCTGCATCATAGCAAAGGTGAAGCAGACAGGATCATTCTGCATACTCAGTGGGCAAAATTCTGAACTGCGGGAGAGCACATGTAAGCCCCTAAGTGTTGCTTGGACCCAACAGAGCTAGAGAAGTGGGCAGATTGAGCCTGGAGGGGAATTGCCACACTTCCTAAACATGCTGCCAGGATAGGGGGCTCCTAGTCAACTCATTAGCAGTAGGCTGGAAGTGTAGCTAATGGATCCACCTTGACATGGATTCGTGGGCCAAAACATTTTGGAAAGACAGCAGCCATCAATGCAACACATGGGCTGAAATATCTGTGGAAGAGAGGCTAATCTTGCAGCCTAATGGCCTGCCTCTGTGCTGTGGAGGGTAGATTCCATCCTAGGGAGTTCCCCTCCCAAACCGCTGTTATTTGGACTTTGTGCCAGGAGGGATGAATTTCACCCATTGTGTTTCTAAACATATCTACCTACTCATATACTGTTTTGAATTACCTACTATTTATGTGTTTCCAAGAAATCGGGCCTACAGTCATAACACACTCTGAGAAGCTAATCTGTGTTGTGTGTGTTGTAAACTTTCTTTTGCAGGAAAAATTATACATGTAGGCAAAGTTTTGGTTATTAACATAACAATTCAGGTTAGGGTGCTGCACACAGAAAGCACCTTGTCTCTAAATGTGATGCAGAGCACTCTAATGGTATTTATCCGTTATAGTTTTCAGTATGTATTTATTTGTTTTATCTTTTTTATTTATGAAATACAAGCTATCTAGTACAATTCAGGGGCCAGATACAGAATGTAAACATACAGTTTTGCTTCTTGTCCACTAAAAATAGGAGAAGGATATTCCTCAAAATAGTTCTCTCTTCCACACAGACTTAAACCACCTCCTTGAACAAACTCTTCAGAAAATTGACCGTTAGGGAAACAGACTTCAGCTCTGTTGTAGCAAAGGGCAAGTTAGTTCCAGAGTCAAGGGCTCCCCACTGAGAATGCCCTGCCAGCTGGCCCTAGACACTTAATCTGGGGTCAGTTAGCTCGAGTACCCCAGCTGCGCTCAGCTGTCATGGCAGCATGAGGAGACAGAGGCAGTCTTTTTAAAGCCAGGACCCTAGCCACAGACCATGTTAGAAAACAAAATTAACACCTTGAATTATACCTGGAGTCTGGAGGTACTCATGTCACATGTCCTTTGCATGCTGCCCTGAACTGAAATCTTGCTGTGTGCTATTATTCACTTGCTGCATTTCAGTGGTAAGTAAAATGATTCCTGTATATTTAGGCCTGAATTATACTTCCCCTGAGAGGTGAGACAAGGGAAAGGGAGCGTAAGGCAGCCATAATTTGACTGCTGCTCTAGTACACAAAGCAGGGCATTGAGCTAGCACTGCCTGCAGAACTGAATAGCCAGCCCCAGAGGATGTATTTATGGGTGGGACATGGACAAGGCTATGTATCCCCTGTCCAGCACAACTGGATTGTTGCACTATGGACATCTCTCATCACAATGACTCCAGGTCCCAGGTGTGTATTACCAGCCCCAAGCATTCCAAGATCTTGAGTCAGACCCCCCCCTCCCCCCAACTCATGACTTTGGCTTGTAACCCATGAGATTTTAAAAAAACAATACATTTGGGGTTCCTTTTAGTTGCTTCTAGTTTTTGAACCTTTAGGATGCTCTCAGGTCACATTTTCAAGTTTTTCTCTGCAACCAAGAGGACTGAAAACTTGTTGTTTTTTTAAGAAACAAAAACAGGAATTCTCACGTGTCCACATAATTCCAGAACCTTCGGCTTTAAGAAAACAAGCAAGACTCATGAGAAAATCATGAGAATTGGCAACACTAGATTGTGCTTTTTAAATGTCTAATAAATGCTTCTTGGCACTGCCACTCAGGCACTGCACCTTCTCTCCTTCTTCCACGCTGTTTAGAGTAATAAGAGGCATAACTTGGCCCAATTTGCTTTATTTAAAGGGATCCTTCAGGATGAAAATTACTGTGTGTATATATATATATATATATATATATATATATAAAGAGGATGTTACTTTTACATGAAGATAAAAGCATAATGAAAAGGCATTACAAAAAAAGAACTGTCAGTTAAGGATCCTGGATATGTATATTTTACACTATGGTTTGATATGTCCTTGGGGAGCACTTTGTTTCTTTAAAGCCCATTCCAGACTAAGGAAAAACTTTTTTTAAAAAGTAATTCAGTTGTTTGTGCCTTTAACATGATTCTGGTTGCTAAAGCAACGCATGCTGAAACTAAAAGCTTTCTCCCTTGCATTCCATCCCTTCTCATTTTTCTCCATGAAATGAAGTCATCATAATCATGTACCTTTGATCTTACAGTCATCTGTGACACCAGATTAAGATATCACAAATGAACAATTATGACTTCCCTGAATGGAAGAGAAGGAAAATGAAGTCTAATGAAGTGGGGTTTTGTTTTAAACAAAGTGGAGAAAAAAACCTTCCAATACTCACAAAGGAGATGTACAAGCTGCAGGAAAGGAATATTGAATCATGATTTGTAAAGCCATTTGTAAAAGCCTTTCTTAGTGCCTTAAATTCTTCTCTTGATTGTTAGGGTGTGTTTTTTTTTAATGTTTTAACCACCAGTTACAAAATATTTGAACTAAATATAGAGTAACTGTACTTGAAGACTGTTGTGCTTCTGTACTATTCTTGTCTTTGTTTCCCTTTTTTGCTTGTACAGGCTGTTCCGCCACCCAACTTTGAGATGCCAGTTTCTATCCCAGTGTCCAACCACAACAGTTTGGTATACAATAACCCAGTCAGCTCGCTGGGTAACCCCAATCTTTTGCCACTGGCCCACCCTTCTTTGCAGAGAAATAGCATGTCTCCTGGTGTGACACATCGGCCTCCGAGTGCAGGAAACACAGGTAGGTTCTATTAAATCCCATTTCTTTCAATGTTCTTTATTATCAGAGTACCAGTGCATCTTCTATCACTTTAAACTGTACGCAGAGAAGCAGGATTCTCTTTTACCAGTCATAACAGTGTGCCCAAAATTGCTGTGTTAAAGTAATCAAAGAAAAAGCTTATGCCGTTTCTAACCCAGATATATAAAATAAAATAAAGCCCTGAAAATAATGTTCTGGAAACATCTGAGTATTGGCTAAGAATGAAGAAATCAATAAAGAATGAAAGGCAGACAATTTGCTGTTACATAAAAAGGCAGCTCATCTACTTGTGTCATGCAAAAAGCCACTGCACTGTTTTTCATAAACTTGAAAAATTAAGTGTGATCAGGGCAACCTTATCTTCGAAAGTAAAATAGGCCTCTAATTACTTAAACATCAGTTAAGAGGCTAAATACAACATTTGTGATTCTGTATGTATTCACAAGCTCATTGATTGGTAAATGGTAGGCCATCTCCAAGCTGAAGTGTATAAACAAAAGGTTGCTTTCCATGCTGGTGATGATTCGGGGTCACCTCTGAGCAGGATAAATGGGGATTAGGATCATTCACTCAGCCCTGGTCTACACTAGGACTTTAGGTCGAATTTAGCAGCGTTAAATTGATGTAAACCTGCACCCGTCCACACGATGAAGCCCTTTATTTCGACTTAAAGGGCTCAAAATCGATTTCCTTACTCCACCCCTGACAAGTGGATTAGCGCTTCAGTCGGCCTTGCCGGGTTGAATTTGGGGTACTGTGGACACAATTCGATGGTATTGGCCTCCAGGAGCTATCCCAGAGTGCTCCATTGTGACTGCTCTGGACAGCACTCTCAACTCAGATGCACGATTGTTTGCCGTTGCTCTGACACAGGGAGGGGCGACTGACGACACAGCTTACAGGGTTGGCTTACAGGGAGTTAAAATCAACAAAGGGGGTGGCTTTACATCAAGGAGTATTTCAGGCAGGAATTCACAGAGGGTTCCAATAAGAAATGGTGCACCTAAGTTATTGTTCTTATTGGAACAAGGAGGTTAGTCTGGCCTCTGATTGATACACGGCTAGATTTACCTCGCTGCACCTTCTCTGTAAGTGACTGCAGTGTGACCTAGAGGAATGAGTCCCCTAGACGGGGGGCGGGGAGGGGGTGTTTGCAAATGAGTACAAAACAAATCTGGTCTATTTCTTGTTTTGATCCACTCCATCTATCTTTTACATCTTTGGCTGGCAGCAGACGGTGCAGAAGGACTGCATGCCATCCACATCTCATGGCTGCTCGGCAGAAGATGGTACAATAGGACTGCTAGCCATCCTCATCTCTTGCCTGCCCGGCAGAAGATGATGCAATAGGACTGCTAGCAATCCGTATCAGCTGCCTGCTCACCATAAGATGGTTCAGTAGGACTGACTGCAGGACTAAAGAGAATGACCTGATCAAGTCACTCCAAATTTAGTCCCTGCACCCATGTCTGCCCAGGCGCTCCTGATCGACCTCACAGAGGCGACCAGGAGCACCTCGGACATGATGATGACAGCTACCAGTCCTATTGCACCGTCTGCTGCCACAAGGCAATGGGTTGCTGCTACTGTGTAGCAATGCAGTACCGTGTCTGCCAGCATCCAGGAGACATACGGTGACAGTGAGCTGAGCGGGCTCCATGCTTGCCGTGGTATGGCGTCTGCACAGGTAACTCAGGAAAAAAGGTGCGAAACAATTGTCTGCCCTTGCTTTCATGGAGGGAGGGAGGGAACGGGGGCCTGACGATATGTACCCAGAACCACCCGCGACAATGTTTTAGCCCCATCAGGCATTGGGATCTCAACCCAGAATTCCAATGGGCAGCAGAGACTGCGGGAACTGTGGGACAGCTACCCACAGTGCAACGCTCCGGAAGTCGACTCTAGCCTCGGTACTGTGGAAGCACTCCACCGAGTTAATGCACTTAATGCACTTAGAGCATTTTCTGTGGGGACACACACACTCGAATATATAAAACTGATTTCTAAAAAACCGACTTCTAAAAATTCGACCTAATTTCATAGTGTAGACAACCCTCAATCTGTCTGAAGCAACGTCAGCCTTAAGCATTCAGAGTTCAAAGAAGCATACAAGGTCTCCAGCCCAAGGAAAAAAGTAAATAAATAAATCTACAGAACGAATGTCTGCGAAAGGGTCAAGAATATTATAATCAACAATTACACAAATGTGTTACAATCATTCTTTACCATTAATTTGTTCGTAGAGCTACTTGCAATATGTCATTGCCTGGCACCAACCCGATGCAGAATTATCACGTTTGGCTTTTCTAATGCAATTAACAATGAAATAATTATTTTTTCAAATAATCCAGTATAATCAGGGCTAGTCTGATTTTTTTTAAAATATAAGGATGCTTCTTAGACTATGTCAGCTTGAAAAAAATTCTGGAAAGTGTCAGTTTCTATAAAGTATTGCACATATTTTTATGTTTGCATGACATCATGACACAAATATTGTTAGCTGTAAAACCTTCCAAAGGGCATTTTGCAGTTTTAAGATTATGGGCTTGATCCGATGCCCGCTGAAGTCGATTAAAAGATGTCCAGAAACTTCAGTGGGCATTGGAACAGGTCATCTGAGAGAAAACATGTTAATATTGTTTAAAATGTGTGACCTTTAGCCATTATCCTTTTGACTATTTTATTTGAACTCCTAGGTGGCCTGATGGGTGGGGACCTCACAACCGGTGCAGGCACCAGTGCAGGTAATGAGAAGAGCATTTTATGTTGCATAATATTATTTTGTGTTATGCACCACAACAGATCATTACCATAGGCTTGGTCTTAAAATACCTGTATACTCAGAATAAGAGCTCACCTCTGCCAAGTCAATGGGAGTTCTGCCATCAGCTTCAATGGGAGCAAATCCACACCCCTAACAGCTTTCCACATTCAGAGTGTCCTCAAGTTTTTCCTTTTAACCTAAAGTCTCTCCGTAAAAATCTTTAGGCCCAATCACACAGCCCTTATTCTGCCAAATCTCCCTTTGAAGCCAATGGGTAAAATCCCAATCCTATTGAAATCAATGGGAGTTTTGCCATTCACTTCAATGAACCAGGATTTTGCACAGTGAATATAAGCTTGAGTAATGACTTTAGGGTTGGGTCTCTTATCAGGACCTTGATTCAGCCAAGCACTTAAGCACATGTTTCATTTTAATCATATGCTTAACTCCACCCCTATTCAGCAAAGCAGTTCAGCATGTACTAAGTTAAGCACTTGCCATTTGTATTGATTTTGAGCTACAAAAATTGCAATGAAACACCAGTAGTATTTAACTTTGAACATTTACTTAATTGCTTTATGGAATCAAAGACTAACAGACAAGGAATTTTCAAAAGACTTTAGGAGATCCAGGCATAGGAAAAAATTGGATCCAATTGATTTAAATTGGAGCTATTGCTGGTAAGGACTGCAATATCAGAGTGATGTTGCTTTTATGTTGTAGGAACTGCTCCCGGGCTCAGTAAATGCTGCAGTATACTACCAGGACAGTGATGCTGCTTTGTGACAAATGCAGATGACAAAATACTAGAATGTTCCAGGAAAAAGCCGAGCAGTAGAACATGCAGTGGAACTGTGTTAACTGCTGGCTGATAGGAGCTATACGGAGGAGTAGTGTGGAGATTCACTGTGTGTACCATACACCAGAGGTAGCAATAATTGGTGACACATATTGTAAAGTTCTACTCTCTTACACTATATCATAAAGATACTTTCCCAGGGTACTATATAAATTTCTTTTTTTTTCCCTGACTCCTCCCAACTTGCCTCAGACCTCTCCTTTATCTTCTTTTTTTTTGTTTTTCATTTTTTATTTTGTCACATGCAAATAAATCACAGATCTTGCATGCTGGATATGTTGGGAAATTGAAACAGCACAACACTGGAGCCAGTAGGCATTTTCAACTGGCACTGCAGCTTCGAGAGGTCATTTTGTATTACTGTATGACTACAGCATGCAAAACAAATGAACATATGGCTCTTAGCCATTAGTCTCTCCTATTCTCACAAAAACCATGCTAGAAAATTACAATTTTCTTATTATCTGTTGGTATTTTGCATAAATGCAGCTAAAAAGATTCATTTTGGTGATGTCTGATGGTTTCATGTCATACCCTTTTTTGACCATGTACATGATTGAAGCTTCAGGCACCACAGCCAATAAACTAGGAGAGGAAGTTTGATTGCCCTATTAATGAGCTCCCTCTACTGGCCTGTTAAGACATGTCATGGTAGCACCATCATTGGTTTGCCTGTTCTTTTCATTCTTACAAAGGTGCTGGGAAGCTGGCAGTGTTTCATTCTAAAAAATGTTTGTGTCTACTAAAATGATTGCTGTTCTAAATGTCTAGTTGGCTTTGTTGTTCTTGGTTCTCATTCAAATCTATACACATTTTGCTGTCTAAAGAAGACACACTCAACACACTAAGTATAGGGACCATGCTTTTTTAATGTAAATTTTTCTTTTAAGTTAGGTATACTAAAGAGGACAGAATGACCCTTTGAGAATATAGATTGCTTATTCTATTATTACACACTTGGCTTTCAAGCAATGTATCTTTGGGCTGGTCAATTGATTTAATGCTGTGTAAGAGGGACATTACCAGGAACGTCTCATAAATATTTAATTGTATGAATAGTCTTCGTTCTTTATCTGGCAGTAAGAGCCCAAAAACACCAGTACAGATATGTGTTCTTCATGTCTTAAATGCAAAGCAGTAGGAGGGATTTGATATAGGGCCAAAGGACAATAAGGGGTCATATATGGTTGAATCGTCTGCCTCAGTAGCTTCATTCAACAATGCCACTATTTTGGAGAGCCTTCTCTCTCATAAGACTACAGAAGAATAAACACCAAAAGTTCTCTTTGTTCACGATTTTTCAGAAAAAACAGAGACCCCAGTGTTTTTTCCATTTGGCATCTTAGAAGCTGATGGCATGATCATGTGGTTTAATTTGTTAGGGTTCCTATTTCTTGCCAAATTATAACTTTATGAATTTGCATTTTTTCTGCACCATCCAAAAATAGCATATATTCAAAATAATGCACTGCAAGAAGAAGAGCTAAGTTGTTCAAAAGTTTAATTTCAGTTACTACAAAAAGAAACTATTTTTGATGGCCAACAAAAGGGCACAAGTTTCTGGCATGACTCTAACAAATCACATGATAACTAGAAAATGGGAAACAGAAAAAGCTACTTAAGTTAGTTACATCCATGTTTTGAAAACTATGTTAGTTTGTTGGTTTGGATTGTTACGTTACACAATTAAATACCAATAATGGTATTTATAAACTAAAATCAAGATTACCTTAGGTTTGTTAGAATAAATTCTATTCATAGTCAAACTCTAGTGGGACAGTTTATGTCATGTCCTGGGAGGTGGTGGAACCTCCATCCTTAGAGTTTTTTAAAGCCCGGCTTGACAAAGCCCTGGCTGGGATGATTTAGTTGGGGTTGGTCCTGCTTTGAACAGGGGGTTGGACAAGATGACCTCGTGAGGTCTCTTCCACTGCTAATCTTCTATGATTCGTCTATGATTCTATGTGAGAGTAACAACTGCCAGCAAAATTAGAGTGAACTTCCCATTTAGTATAGCTGCTAAACTATAAATATATCAGTGTCATTGGTGCCTTTCTCTTAAACCAGAGATTTTTGAGTGAAAGAAAAGAACAAGAACTCTTGGGACCTAAACCAGTATGTTGTAAAACGTCTTTAGAGTTAAACCCCTTTCATCATAACCACTTAATCAAGTGACATGTTACCTGTTTACATAGTAAAGTATGCAGTGTTGTTTTAATTTTTAGGAAGCACATTTACCCTTAAACATAAACCATTTAAGTTGCGGGGAACTTGACAAGAAGCTAATAATGAGACGTACGCGTTTTTATTGCTGTACATTATCTGAGCTATAATTTCATGTAGTGGTTTAACATTGTTGAAAACATGACAGAGGATGAAGCTTTCAAATAATTGTTGACTGCTCTTTAAAAACGTAGTGCTACAATTGATTTTGGAGGCCTTTCTTTGCCCATATGTTTTGATCTCCTGGTTTTCACTACCTCTAAAATTGGATTATATTTTACATTTCACACTAGTGTTGGGACTTCACATAAGGAGCACATAGTTTTGTGTTATTTTTAATTTTTCTATTGAAAGTAACTAGAAGAATATTGTGGGACAAGTTCTGCTCTGTTACACAGGTGTGAATATGGAACAAGTCCACAGATGCCAAGAGTTATTTCAGGTTTACCACTGTAAATAATAATGAAATAAGAGCAGAATTTGACCCTGAACCTTTAAATCCAACCTGAGATTCTCCAAAGGGATAAGGTTAGCAGTATTTTCAACAAAAATGCCATTTTAACTGTTTCTTTTTTTCTCTTTCTTGTTTTGTAATTTGTTTTTCTCATTCCTGTTTCCTCACCTTCTCCTTCTTAAAGCCAATATCAAAAGAAAAGGGATACGCAATTCAAAAGTAACTAGCAATTTTGGGTGTCAAAAACACCTTAATGGGAACTGATTTTCAGATAGTACTGAGCTCTTCTCCATAAATCCAGCCTCTTTATGGTCACTCAAGTTGGGCACCCAGAAATCACTAGTCATTTCTGAAAACCTTTTCCGGGTACTTTTTAAAAACCCAATCCCATATTAATCTGTGAATTGGCAGGTAGGCAAGCAGGGAGTACTTAAGGAGGGATGTGGTAAAATCCCCTCTTCTGAAAATTAAGTACAGCATACCACATACCAGAGGCCACCTCAGTTTTTGCCAGATTGGGTCTTGGATTGCTCTTTCTCAGCTAGTATCATAACTCACTAGTGCTACACTATTGATTTTACTTCAACTAGTCATGTATTGACTGTGTACAAATGGATTAGATATTCTGTTACTATTTCATACCAAATAGATATGTGTGTAATAGTTATTTTTAATTTCTGAGCCCTCAGGTTGGAAGATTTTTGGGCAACACCTTTTCAAAAAATGTAACGAAAACAAAGATTTATTTAAAAAAAAAAAAAAGCAATGTTTCCAAATAAGCCTGTGAGCAGGAGAAAAAAACAATCAGGTTGGAATTTCTGAAGGTGCCTGACTCCCTGAGGCTCCAGTGAAAATCCAGACTGAAACAACCAACCTAATGCTAAAGGAAACAAATTAAAAGGATTACACATGAATTCTTATCCTTGCCCTACAGATGTGCTTTGGTGAATGTCAATGGGAAAATATTTCCCAGGCCATAAATGTGGAATATGTTAAATAAAGAAATTCCTTTAAAACTATTATTATTAACATAACCATTTATACTGCAATATATCTAGAAGCTCCCATCATATAGGAATCCCTCTGTGGTACATGCTGTACAAATATATTGTAAACAACAGTACTTGCCCCATAGAGTTTACAGTCTAAAAGAAAACATAAAAACTGCCATATTGGTTCATATCAATGGTCCATCTAGTCCAGTATCCTATCTCCAACAACAGCCGGTACCAGAGTTTCAGGGAGACAATGTAGAGCAGGGCAGTTTTGGAGAGAACCATCTCTGTCTTCCTCTGGCAGAGGTTTAGGGTTGTCCCAAGCATGGGGTTCCATCCCTGACCATTTTGGCTAATAGCCATTAGTGGACCTGTCCTCCATGAGCTCATTCATCTAGTTCTTTTTTGAACCCAGCTATACTTTTGGCCTTCACAACATCCCATGGCAA